TATATATATATATATTATATATATAATATTATATATATATATATATAATATATATATATATATATATATATATATATATATGCAATAAGATCACAGTAAACAGGTGATTTTAGAATATGCAAAAGAAACACTGTGAAAGAATAGTGAAATTCCAAGCGCTTTCGTGACTACTCACATTATCAAGGAACAATAAAAGTAATACATCAAAGGAAGGCATATAAAGGGTCTAGACCACACCTCACCATCACATCCCACAACAAAGCAACACCTGACGCGGGAACACACGACTCATAAGAAAGAGAACACTGCAGCAGTCCCGCTGGCCCAACTAGACAGGTCCTTCACGCAACCCACAAACTATTCTACCCAAGAATTAAGATTTATTATTTGTTCAATGTATTATCAAATTCTTCCCAAATTCTATTAATTATAAATGGATCTAATTTATATAAACCAAAGGAAATATTCATATTATTTTCAAAACTGCTTTTTATGAAACACGATTCAATTATACTCCTGTCGACCATGGACTTGCTTGATACAACTTTCTCAACTTTTCGAAAATCAATTGGTTGGTTAAAATCTCTCACATGAATAAATAGAGCATTGGAATCTTGTCCAGTTCTAATGCTATATTTATGTTGTTTTAAGCTCAGTTCGAGACTTTAATCAGTTTGACCGTAATATACTTTATGTGATGGTGAGGTGTGGTCTAGACCCTTTATATGCCTTCCTTTGATATATTACTTTTATTGTTCCTTGATAATGTGAGTAGTCACGAAAGCGATTGGAATTTCACTATTCTTTCACAGTGGTTGTTTTGCATATATATATATATATATATTATATATATATATATTATATATATATATATAATATATATTATATATATATATATATATATATATATTATATATGTCGTGCCTAATAGGTAAAAAATTGGTCAGTTAGCAAGAACTCGTTTAAAATTAAGTCCTTTCTAAAATTTTCTCTTATACATTTAAAGATATATATATTTTTATTTATGTTAATGTAAAAAAATAATAATTTTGTACCATAAGAACCTTAGAAAACTTACCTAACATTATTATAACAAGCGCAATTTAATTTAGCCTAATCCAGTTAAATATATTTTAGCTAAGTTTACAATAATTTAATAATAAACAAACACAATGAAATATATATTTTTCGTTCGGTTCAGAATGATTTTTGCTAAATTATTGCGTATACTAATTTTCGCTTGCCTTATTCGGCAAGAAGAACGTTGCTATTTAAGACAAAATAGCAACTTTTACCTATCCGGCACGACATATATATATATATATATATATATATATATATATATATATATATATATATATATATATATATATATATATATATATATATATATATATGCATTAACATGGAATCAGTAACATTACGACATATGAAATAAACAAGATATGATTGTTAACTATCGTCACGAGCAGGTTACACCTGACCTCCATTAATGTGACTGAGTCGGTGCTACCTGCGTCAAGTCTTGTAAGGAGATGCTTATTGATTTGAGTGCGAATTACGGTACTGACACTGAATTGTGTTTCAGATTAATTAGAGCTTTTAACTGCAACCATAAGCTCCGATTCGACCTTCGATAAGTTTCGAGAGATTTCCTACTACCGGGGCCCAGCCTTTGTCCAGGCTCGTCTTGTGCTATCCTGGTCAACCAGACAGTTTGGTTGATCTGGCACCATAGCTTGGTTGAGCTGGCACCTGGTGAAGATATTAGTCCAGCTTCCTCTTGAAGACTTCTACATTTGTCTAACCTGTGTTTTTCATATCTTTGCAATAAAGTAGAAAGAAAAACGTCTTTGATACCTGATGGGCACGCAAAACTTTGACCAACTAGACTAACAATAATGGAAGATAAAAAAAAACTTTGATTAGCTAGACTAACAATAATGGAAGATAAAAAAAACTTTGATTAGCTAGACTAACAATAATGGAAGATAAAAAAAAACTTTGATTAGCTAGACTAACAATAATGGAAGATAAAAAATAAAACTTTGATTAGCTAGACTAACAATAATGGAAGATAAAAAAAAACTTTGATTAGCTAGACTAACAGTAATGGAAAATAAAAATTAACTTTGATCAGCTAGACTAACAGTAATGGAAGATATAAAAAACTTTGATTAGCTAAAGTAAGTGTAAATGAAGCAAGGATAGTAAAAGTTATCCTCCATGAGCCAACCTTGATTAGAAAAAGTAAGTCTTTTTTTTATATAACTATATTTTTGGAATACCAACTTGCATTTGTTGAAATCCATATTGTAGGCACAATCAAATATGCAACAAAACACAACACTATTTGTATGACCTCCTTTACCATCTCTTTTGTCTTCATACACACATACACTCGCTTGTTCAAACATCTACCAGCTTCAGCCATACTCAGACCTCTGGATGTTACTTGCAAGGAACCTAATACACACTTTTACCAACATAGTAACTTGGCTTACTTCTGATTACTATCTCACTAACAATGTTACTATTGTATGTATGATACATTGATGTCTACTCGATGCTGCAAGTCTTTTGTTTCTGGCAGCCTGTCATTATAAGGTAGTAAGAAGCATTTACTAAAGTCCTCAACTGACGCATAAATTCGATGATTCAAATAAAAATATGTATATTATTGAATCAAGCATTATTGTCAAAATTATCCGGATGAATATTCAACAATATTCGCACTCAAATCAATAAGAATCTTGCTGGAAGTTTGACACATGTGTTAAGAGGTGTCGAGAACAAAAGAAGGCAAGCTCTTTAGGGTTTAAATCAATGGAGGTCAGGTAACACCCACTCATAGTCGGATCAATGGAGGTCAGGTAACACTTACTCCTAGTCACATCAGTGCCGATACCTCTTCGTGGTGACTTTTAATTCATATTTCGCTAAATCCAGCTATGTGAAATGGCGTAATGATACCGGTTCCATGTCTTTGTTAAAAAAAATATTTCTTATATATATATATATTATATATTATATATATATATATATATATATATATATATATATATATATATTATATATATATATATATATATATATATATATATATATATATATATATATATATATATGTCGTGCCGAATAGGCAGAATTTGCGATCTTGGCTTAAATAGCAACGTTCAACTGCCATATAGGACAAGTGAAAATTTGTGTATGCAATAATTTCGTCAAAATCATTCTGAACCTAACGGAAAAAATATATTTCACTGTGTTTGTTTAGTATTAAATTACTGTAAACAAATCTAAAATATATTTAGTTGGGTTAGGCTAAAATAAATTGCTCTTGTTATAATAAGGTTAGGTAAGTTTTCTAAGATTCTTTTGGTGCAAAATTAATTTTTTTTACATTAACATTAATGAAAAAAAATATATCTTTAAACGTATATGAGAAAATTTTAGAAAGGACTTAATTTTAAATGAGTTCTTGCTAATTGACCAGTTTTACATATTCGGCACGACATATATATATATATATATATATATATATATATATATATATATATATATATATGTCGTGGCGAATAAGTAACCGAATAAGTAAAACTTGCGATTTTGGCTTAAATGCCAACGCAATTCTTGCCGAATAGGGCAAGCGAAAATTTGTGTATGCATTAATTTCGCAAAAATCATTCTGAATCTAACGAAAAATATATTTCATTGTTTATTATTAAATTATTTTAAACTTAAATAAAATATATTTAGTTAGATTAGGCTAAATTAAATTGTGCTTGTTATAATAAGGTTAGGTAAGTTTCCTAAGGTTCTTTTGACATAAAATCATTAATTTTTTATATTACCATAAATGAAAAAATACATCTTTAAATGAACAAGAGAAAATTTTAGAAAGGAGTTAATTTTAATGAGTTCTTGCTAACTGACCAGTTTTACCTATTCTGCACGACATATATATATTATATATATATATATATATATATATATATATATTATATTTATATATATATAATATATATATGTGAGAAGACTTCGTTTTTCTTTGATGGTCAGCTTATTAAAATTCAATATTTGTGTTCATGCGCTATCATGAGATTCTATACTATATCACATTGATATACAAAATATCAAGGAGCATTTTTTAATTCAATTAAAAACTAAGGGAAGGCAGTCAGAGAGAAAGGCAGGAAGTTACACTCTACATGCATACACTCGACCGATCGAGGTAAACTATGAAAACATACTCGGGGGGAAGATACAAGTATACCAGTGTCAATAATCCAGATGCTGATATACTACTGTTATTACGTAGAAAAAGTGATGTCTGGCCTATCTAGTTTTCTGTTTAATTACACGGTGAGTGGGTGTCCGGAAAAAAATCACAGGAAAAAGTCACAGAGAATAATTCAAAATTGTAGCTAGGGGAAAAAAATCACATTTTATTTAGGCTACGTTCGGTTGTGACCTATTTCTGTGACTTTATTTCTGTGATTTTTTTCCCCTGAACGCGGGTGGTGGCAGTGTCCCCGCCTGAGGAAGCACACTCTCCTCGCTATGTTCTTTTTATGTTGTTTTTAACTCTGAACTTACTTCATTTTTTTATTTGTGAAAATACCTCTTCCTTGATATTTTGTAAATCGATGTAATTTTTTACAGATCAATGAAGCGTTGAATCTGAACAAACTGAGTTTAAAAAATGAAATCTTTCTTGTTAATTATATATATATATATATATATATATATATATATATATTATATATATATAATATTATATATATATATATTATATATATATATATATCAGAAATCCAGTGAAATAAACGCTAAAAATGTTGTGTTTTTCTAGCTCTTAAACTGCTTGAACTGTGTAAGAAAAATGCAAATAAACGTTTCTCGTTTGTATTATATATATATATATATATATAATATTATATATATTATATATATATATATATATAATATATATATATATAATGTTATTTGTACTTGCATAAACAGATTCAGAGTACAATTGTGATATATTTGAGATAATACAAAATACAACAGAAGCAACAACTGTACTGCTCATTTCTGTAAATTTCTCTGACTACGCAAACCAACTATCTAAGAAAAATTTTTTGTATTATTTCCCATAGAGCTTTTTTATATCAATAATTTACTTTCAAAAGCAATTGCAGTATTACCCTTAAAAAAAAGTAAAAACCACATGAATACATGTTAAATAATGAAGAAAGGAGGTCGAGGTTTTTTGAGGGTGGGGTATTTAGGTTTTTTTGAGGTGGGGGGGGGAAGGTTTGAATAATACTCACATAGGCTCGGTGGTACAGTACATAAACAGGCAACCAACACACTCACTCACTCCTATACACACACATGGTGGTCCGTGTACCAGCCCTTCTCATGCACACGATTCTTAATCCTTAATCATAAACGTGAAATGGGATCAAATATGCCTTAGAATGACTGAAATGCCTTCGTTAGATTCACCTAACTTATCAAAATCATATTAATGCTCCCGTTTTGTGTTGGAAACTTGTCCAGGAATTCTTATAACGTTCGCCATTTTACGAAGAAATTAATACTTCACTTCTGTGACGAGATCTTGTCCATTAAGCCCTATAATAAAGATCAATCAATTATGTAGTCAATCAATTAGTCTACCCTTAATTATGGAGAAAGTACCATTTTTTTTTTTTGTCCTGTGAAATTTACAAAACTTAAATCTTTTTTTTTAAGTACAAAGATGAAAATTTAGATATTAACTCAAAATATACTTGCTAAAATCCCTTATTTGGACTTAAGACAGGTGTCAGATGAGGACTAGTCACTGCTCAGTGCTTCACTTCAGCTCTCACCCTGAAACACTGTTTTGCTAGTCAACTGCTCGGAAAAAAGTTGTCTTCTCTTAAAATATAGTATTGTTTTCTACAACTTTAGGCGTCCATTGTACCAGTTTCTTGGATATTGTGTTAATATTTAATCTTGTCCTCACGTGAAGGAAGTATCAGAACTCCGACACGACAAAAATACGTAATTGGCAGCAAAGATTTCAAATCCTGGCAGGTTCAGCTAGACCGTCGGAAGTCGTGAGCCAAACTCTCACGACTTGCATTCGGGCCAACACGTAGTTAACCTTTACTCTTCAAGAGGGTTGGAAAATAAGCAATATACTAACAGAATATCGCCCTAAACTACTAGTACTCCTAGAAGTTTTTGTAACCCTTACGTCGTCTGCCTTCTCGTGCAACAGGAAGGTGTTATTCAACCATCCTCATAAGATTCAGATTCGTGTGGAACTCAACCTGAAGACTGTCCATAGCACCTAGCACACTCTTAACTCCTCGCAGCTCCGGGTCCTTGTCGGAAGTAAGAGAGTGCTATGCGTCCATCTGGGTGAGGTCGACAGCCAGGCGGAGTCGCAGGAGAGGGTCGTTCATGGTTGGTCTGGGCCAGCGTCGCTGCAGCCCCCACAACCAGCCTGCGAGGAGGGGAGGAGGGAGGCAGCGGGGAAACAGCAAGAAGGCAACTTAACAGCCCCACTAATCCCCTTTTTGTTACTTGGTGGTACTTGGGTTTGTTTAAAAGGTTTTAGTGTGCAGTTGAAAGAGCTCTTTTGTTGAAATACACAGGAGGACCCTCGGGAAAAGAGAAAAAGTCTGCTTAACACAAGGGGAAAGAGAGGTTTGCCCTTTAAGTGCTGTGGGTGGGTCTATTAAAAGGAGACTACTAGGAAAAGTTTAATAAAATTTGTATTTTAGTGTAATAAGAAAGTTTGCATGTTGGGAATTAAGCTGTCCCGCTTGATAGACATGCAACTATCACAAAAGGGGTATCCATACCCTTTAATCAGAAAGAAGAAGAATAAAAAAGATAAAATATATAAATATAAAAATATTATTTATAAAATATATTATATATATATATATATAAATTTTTATATATATAAAATTAAATATTATTTAATTATGTAGTAGGGTTTGGGAGACAGAACCACCCAGGGAAATACTACCGTCCTGCCCAAAGACTGTGAAACAAAAACCTGTAACGTTTGCAAAGATGGTGGATTGCTGGTTTTTTTTTCGTCTCATAAAAAGCTAAAATAACAGGGATATCTTTTACCCTACTTACACTTGGCACACTTCACAGACACGCACAGCATTATATATTACATACATCAGGTTTTTTTTCCTTTTTCTAAAAAAGCTCTTTTTTCTTTTTTTTTTCTTTTATTGTCCCGGGGAAGTGAAAAGAATTTCCCCCGTAAGCCATGGTGTCGTATAGGGGACTAAAACCGGGAGCAAAGGGCTAGTAACCCCTTCTCCGTATACAATTACTAAAAAAAAGAAAAGAAAAACTTTATAAAACTGGTTCTTAAATTGCTGGGGTAGTGCGGGTGACAAGAAAAAGATATTTCGTTTATGAAAGAAAAGAAGTTGGATGTCCGGCCCCAAGGAAACAAAGCTGAAGGGGGGTAGGAGAGTTTCAGTGGGGGGAAATAAATGGGGTTAAATCTGGATATCTGGAAGTTGAGCAAAGGGAAGGGTACGTAATGTTAAATGTCATTATGAAGGAGAAAAGAGAATATGAATTTTTAAATTCAAGAATTATGTGGATTAAAGTAAGGTTGGATGCGAGAAGTGGGTCATAATAAGAGTGTATGCACCTGGAGAAGAGAGGAATGCAGAGGAGAGAGAGAGATTTTGGGAGATGTTAAGTAAATGTATAGGAGCCTTTGAACCAAGTGAGAGAGAAATTGTGGTAGGGGACTTGAATGCTAAAGTAGGAGAAACTTTTAGAGAGGGTGTGGTAGGGTAAGTTTGGGGTGCCAGGTGTAAATGATAATGGGAGCCCTTTGATTGAACTTTGTAATAGAAAGGGGTTTAGTTATAGGTAATAAAATATTTTAAGAAAAAGAGGATAAATAAGTATACACATATGATGTAGGGCGAAATGACAGTAGTTTGTTGGATTATGTATTGGTAGATAAAAGACTTTTTTGAGTAGACTTCAGGATGTACATTTTATAGAGGGGCCACAGATATATCAGATCACTTTCTAGTTGTAGCTACACTGAGAGTAAAAGGTAATGGGATACAAGGAGAATAGAAGCATCAGGGAAGAGAGAGGTGAAGGTTTATAAACTAAAAGAGGGGGCAGTTAGGGTAAGATAAAAAACAGCTATTGGAGGATAGAGGGGCTAATGAGAGCATAGGCAAAGGGGCGAAGGGGTATGGGGTAGGTTTAAAAAAGTAGTGTTAGAGTGTTCAGCAGAAGTTTGTGGTTACAGGGAAAATGGGTGCAGGAGGGAAGAGGGCGATTGGTGGAATGATGATGTAAAGAGAGTAGTAAGGGGAAAAAAAATTAGCATATGAGAAGTTTTACAAAGTAGAAGTGATGCAAGGAGGGGAAAAGTAAAATGGAGAAAAAGAAGGGGGTTAAGAGAGTGGTGAAGCAATGTAAAAAGAGAGCAAATGAGAGAGTGGGTGAGATGTTATCAACAAATTTTGTTGAAAATAAGAAAAAGTTTTGGAGTGAGATTAACAAGTTAAGAAAGCCTAGAGAACAAATTGATTTGTCAGTTAAAAATAGGAGAGGAGAGTTATTAAATGGAGAGTTAGAGGTATTGGGAAGATGGAAGGAATATTTTGAGGAATTGTTAAATGTTGATGAAGATAGGGAAGCTGTGATTTCGTGTATAGGGCAAGGAGGAATAACATCTTGTAGGAGTGAGGAAGAGCCAGTTGTGAGTGTGGGGGGAAGTTCGTGAGGCAGTAGGTAAAATGAAAGGGGGTAAGGCAGCCGGGATTGATGGGATAAAGATAGAAATGTTAAAAGCAGGTGGGGATATAGTTTTGGAGTGGTTGGGGCAATTATTTAATAAATGTATGGAAGAGGGTAAGGTACCTAGGGATTGGCAGAGAGCATGCATAGTTCCTTTGTATAAAGGCAAAGGGATAAAAGAGAGTGCAAAAATTATAGGGGGATAAGTCTGTTGAGTGTACCTGGTAAAGTGTATGGTAGAGTTATAATTGAAAGAATTAAGATAAGACGGAGAATAGGATAGCAGATGAACAAGGAGGCTTTAGGAAAGGTAGGGGGTGTGTGGACCAGGTGTTTACAGTGAAAACATATAAGTGAACAGTATTTAGATAAGGCTAAAGAGGTCTTTGTGGCATTTATGGATTTGGAAAAGGCGTATGACAGGGTGGATAGGGGGGCAATGTGGCAGATGTTGCAAGTGTATGGTGTAGGAGGTAGGTTACTGAAAGCAGTGAAGAGTTTTTACGAGGATAGTGAGGCTCAAGTTAGAGTATGTAGGAAAGAGGGAAATTTTTTCCCAGTAAAAGTAGGCCTTAGACAAGGATGTGTGATGTCACCGTGGTTGTTTAATATATTTATAGATGGGGTTGTAAGAGAAGTAAATGCGAGGGTCTTGCAAGAGGCGTGGAGTTAAAAGATAAAGAATCACACACAAAGTGGGAGTTGTCACAGCTGCTCTTTGCTGTGACACTGTGCTCTTGGAGATTCTGAAGAGAAGTTGCAGAGATTGGTGGATGAATTTGTAGGGTGTGGCAAAGAAGAAAATTAAAGGTGAATACAGGAAAGAGTAAGGTTATGAGGATAACAAAAAGATTAGGTGATGAAAGATTGAATATCAGATTGGAGGGAGAGAGTATGGAGGAGGTGAACGTATTCGATATTTGGGAGTGGACGTGTCAGCGGATGGGTCTATGAAAATGAGGTGAATCATAGAATTGATGAGGGGAAAAAGAGTGAGTGGTGCACTTAGGAGTCTGTGGAGACAAAGAACCTTTGCCCTTTGGAGGCAAAGAGGGGAATGTAGGAAGTATAGTTTTACCAACGCTCTTATATGGGTGTGAAGCGTGGGTGATGAATGTTGCAGCGAGGAGAAGGCTGGAGGCAGTGGAGATGTCATGTCTGAGGGCAATGGTGGTGTGAATATAATGCAGGAATTCGAGTTTGGAAGTTAGGAGGAGGTGCGGGATTACCAAAACTGTTTGTCCAGGGGGTGAGGAAGGGTTGTTGAGGTGGTTCGGACATGTAGAGAGAATGGAGCGAAACAGAATGACTTCAAGAGTGTATCAGTCTGTAGTGGAAGGAAGGCGGGGTAGGGGTCGGCCAGGAAGGGTTGGGAGGAGGGGGTAAAGGAGGTTTTGTGTGCGAGGGCTTGGACTTCCAGCAGGCATGCGTGAGCGTGTTTATAGGGGTGAATGGAGACAAATGGTTTTTAATACTTTACGTGCTGTTGGAGTGTGAGCAAGTAACATTTATGAAGGGATTCAGGGAAACCGGCAGGCCGGGCTTGAGTTCTGGAGATGGGAAATACAGTGCCTGCACTCTGAAGGAGGGGTGTTTAATGTTGCAGTTTAAAAACTGTAGTGTAAAGCACCCTTCTGGCAAGACAGTGATGGAGTGAATGAGGGTGAAAGTTTTTTTTTTTTGGGGGCCCAAACCCTGCCTTGGGTGGGAATCGGCCGGTGTGATAATAAAAAATAAAAAAATAATATATTTTAATATATTATATAATATATATATATATATATATTTTAAAATTTATAAATATATATATATATTTTTATATGCAAAACAACCACTGTGAAAAAAATAGTGAAATTCCAAGCATTTTCGTGCCCCTCTCAACATTATCAAGGAACTATATAGTTCCTTGATAAGTGAGAGGTCACGAAAGCCTTGGAATTTCACTTTTCTTTCACAGTGGTTTTTTGCATATTCTGATATCACCTTTTTTTACGTGATCTTTTTGCCATATATTATATATATAATATTAATATATATATATATATATATATAATATAAAATAATAATATATATATATAATTATTTTTATTATCCCACGGGGCCGATTCCCCCCAAAGGCAGGGTGGCCCGAAAAAGAAAAACTCACCATCATTCACTCCTTTCACGTCTTGCCAAAAGGGTCTACACTACGGGTTTTTAAACTGCAACTTAACACCCCTCCTTCAGAGTCAGGCACTGTACTTCCCATCCCCCGGACTCAAGTCCGGCCTGCCGGTTTCCCTGAACCCTTCATAAAGTACTTTCACACTCCATCAGCACGTCAAGTATTAAAACTTTCCTACATTTTCACACCTATCAAACACACTCACCCTCATCCCACATCCTTCCTAGCCCCCCACCCGCCTTCCTTCCACTACAGACATCCTCTTGAAGTTATTTGTTTCGCCCTTCACTCCACATGTCCGAAACCACTTCAACAACCCTTCTCACCCTATGGACACATTTGGTAATCCCCACTCCTTCTAACTTCCAAACTCAATCCATTTCTGCCACCCCCCGCCAACAAGACCCCAACTGCCCCCAGACATCTCCACTGCCTCCAGCCCCCCCCCCCCCCTGCAACACCCATCACCCATGCTTCACACCCATCAAAGCGTTGGCAAAACTAAAACTCTCACACATTTCCCCTCCTGCCCA